CAACGACCTGTTTTTCCATTTGAAGTCCACCTCCTCTTTGGGGTCGTTGGCTGCCATGAGTGGTTTCGTTGGAAGGCGACGGAGATCTTCACAAGAAGCAGAACGACTACTACACGATCCTGGAGACCGAGGAGGGCGACTTCGAGTGGGCGCAGCGGATGAGCGCTTCAATGCACTGCTCGAGGAAGCGAGGGCCAGCTCAACGCCACCGAGCGCCGCAGCTGTTCGACGGATTGCGGCCGCTCCTGCATCCACGGCTAAGGGGGCGCCGATGATCGACCGCAGAGAACGGCCGACAGGGGAGAGGTCATCTCCAAGCAGGGACAGCTGACGGGCGGCAGCACACAGTGAGACAGTCACTGCAAGTTCTGCGCAAAACATTTGGCCGTGGAGCGCAAGTGAACCTTTTGGTGCGCTACCACCTGGTCTACTTGGCCGAGGGCATGGCACCACATGTGGAAGCGGTGAACACTTCACCCCAGTACCCTGTTCCACCTATGATAGGATCAGGAGGAAACCCTGGGTTGCAGCCTCAAGTACTGGATCCATATGTGATCGCAACTCCTCAACCCCTACCTCATAGAGAGAGGAACCCGTTTTGGAGCGCGCTGAACCACAGGGATCTCAAGGAGGTCTATCTGCTGGAGATGCAAAGAACCAAGGCGAAGCCCTACGGCTCCTGAGATTGAGGCGGTGCACGAGAAGGTACTGCGCGAGGCCCAGGAGAACTTTGAGAAGGAACTGAAGAAACTTGGTGGTGGGACAAGGTGCCAAGGGTCAATACGCAGGGAGGGCGAGGTGGTCGAGAATGTTGGGTCAGAGGCTACTATCTCTCAATCTCCGGGAATCCCTCTACAACCAGGTCACGCACGGGGGGTGGACACTGCTCATGTTGAAGGTGGACGAACGGTCACCAAAATTGGCCAGGGAACTCCATCGTCTTCTATGACAGAGGCTTTGAGGAATTTGGATCTTCCCGCTCTTCCAGGTGCAAATGTGGAGGGATCATCGAGCTTGTTTGGTGACTGGCTCACAATGGCATTCCCATTGATGGCGGACATCTCCAACTCAGCTAAGGCATGGTGGGAAGGGTCACTAATGGTGGCACGGGGGCGCTACTCAAGATGGTTGACGATGAGTCCACTGGAGCGACTTCGCGCTAAGCCGGAAGTGGCGGTGGATCCTGCCCTTCAGCGCATTGGGCAGAGGGCAGAGGCTACGCTGTTGGGAGCGCTGCCGGATCAACTTTGCCGGGACCTGGTGTCGGGAAGGCATTTGACAGTGGTGAACATCCTCTACAAGCTGCACGTCACTTACCAACCTGGTGGGGGAGCTGAGAAAACACAACTGCTGAAGAATTTGGTGGAGACCAAGTTTTCTACCCAAACTTCGGAGCTGCTCACCCAAGTACGATTGTGGAGGAGGTGGCAGAGCAGGGCGCAGGAACTTCATCTGGCACTACCTGATCCAATCGTGCTGATGGTCCATTCAAAATTTGCTTTGTACTCCGGCGCGCAATTGTTGAAATTTGTCGCAAAGGCAGAAGCTTCATTGGAGGACATGCTGCCATCCAAAATTACAATCACATCGTCGCGAAAACCTCCATAGAAAGGCGCTCTCTCAAGAAACGGCCGGAGAACGGAACTTCTTTCAATGAGAAGAGCTGCTGTCAAATCACAAGCTTCAGAGGCAAAAGCCAAACCTTGTCCAACACGTTTGCACCTGTGCGGTTTACCATTGATGGTGACAAATTGATTCTGCAGCACAATGTACGCTAAATCAGCAACTGCTATAGCATCATCAAAACCGGCTTCAGTCAAAGCAGCGCAGCGCAAACACAGGTTGCAACCATTTCAGGAGTAGTACTCGGATAAAAATCCAATGTCTCCAGAACCCAAAATGGAATCAGTAGGTAAATGAAGCGCTTCAAGTCGGAAGACAAGGTCAGCAGAGTTGCGAATCACAAAAGGGAGTCTAGCAACAAGTTCAGAAAGACGGATGCGCGCATATTGTGCCACGGGTGTCAAAATGCTCGAACTTGTGGGCGTGATGACCCTTGGCACTTAAGTTTTCTTGTGACTCTTCCACGTGAGGATAATTTCCATCAACTTCCAGCTTGCACCACTTTGTTGGAACAAACCCTCTCTGGTTTTCTGTGTAAAGCAACGCGCACACAAACGGTCAATGATCTCATGTAATCGCCGGCTCAAAGAAACTCGGTCACATTCACCTTGTTCAAATTTCTCATGCGCATTACTAATGTCATTCTCCAGCTGCGTCAAAAAAGAAATCTTCACAGGAATCAAAGCGGTTCTCTTGTCATCTTTGAAGACAGTGAAGTCGTTCTTTTTGAGCCAATGTAGGGCCAAGCGATCAAGGCAAGACAAGTTTGAGGTTGGTCTATGTCGCGCCCAACATCGACGAAAACGATCCCAGGTGCATTGTTCAAGAGTACTGAACAAAGAGGCCACCAATTCCGGGGTAGGTGGCCACCATTCGGATGGACATCTAATTTTGTGCATCTGCAGTTGTAGAGGGGTCAGACTTGGAGTAGAGCCCTGACCAGAAAAATAAGCAGCGCAGAAAAACTTCCGTTTGAATTCACGAAGTGCTTGCGCAAAAACTGCGGCATCAGGCCATTTGGCATGCCGAGGGATGAACTTGGGCCGCTTGCCCAAGAAAAACTTCACACAATCTGGAAGTCCATGAGGAGGACAAGCAATTTGGCTGACGTGGTCTAGTTGGAGAGCGCCATGAGGTGAAATATGCTAGGGTCGAGCTCAAAGGTTCACGTGCAAGGGTTCTCAACGTCTGCTGCGCAAAATGCAACAGCAAGTCATGTGGATGATCAACAAAATGTTGAAGGTTGCCACGTGCATGCCTTCGGATCTTGCTCCGCTTTCTCATTGCCAATCTCTCCTTCCTGGCGATTTGTTTCGCCATCCTTGCATCAAGTGGCTTCGTTGATTTCCAGAAAGGTTCCGACGACGCCTTCGAGGGGTCAAATTCTTGGACCTCGACCTCCACGTTGACGCGGATTTCCCGACATTTCCTTTCTGATGTGTCTTGCCCTTGCCATGCTTGCCCTTCCCTTTCATGGCTCCCTCTTTGGGAGACGGGTTGCGTATAAAACCCTTATTACCTTTACTCTTACCTTTTCCTTTGCCTTTGGGAAAGGGAGATTGAGAAAGGATCTATTGTTCGATCTAATGGATCTGTTGGAAGGGCCCCTAGAGTAGTTACCAAACCCTTTCCCTTTACCGTTGCTGGTATTCCTAGGGGGTTGAGAAGAAGATAAAATGTTTGCCATGGGATTGCGCAAAGCGACGGGGGGCATCACAAAATTGAGCAAAGCCAGATTCGGACAGACTATGTCGCATTGCAGCGCTTCCTTTGCCACATCCTTTCAGCATATCGGAAATCTTGGACTCAATCATGATGTCAAGCTGGAGCTCTTTGGGGAGTTGAGCAAATTCCATCTTGGCTCTGGCAATCGCTTCCTCGCGTTTTCTTGCAGCTTCAGTTTGTTTTGTTCTTGCCAGTGCTTTTCCAAAAAGAAGATGCTCATGACTCACATCCACAAACTTTTTTGCTTCACCAATCACTTTGCAAGTCCATCTCCACAAGTTCCTTGAAAGTAGAATCGATACAGTCTACAACTCGTTGGCTGTAAGCTGTCAACGATGCTTCGGTTCGTAGATGCTCAAGCTCAGCAGATTTTGCCCGCATCGTGAGTTCAATTCTCATATCCACATCTTTATCTGTCAGTTCATTTGCAAGTTCAGCGAAAGTTTTGCCTCGATTGTCAAGATCAGCTGGGGCCTGTTGCCCCGCAATTTTGTCCGAAATTCTCATCTTGGCTAAGAATTTCGAAATTCGCTTTGTGTTTTTCCAGTCTTCATGCTGTTAACCCATGGATTCCAGCTGATCACCGGCTGCCCATAGGTGGTTCAAATGTCATCTATGGCCATCATGAAACTCAAACAAAGTCCGCTGAAAGACTTTGTTCAAAGACTTAAAGTTAAAGTCAAAGGTAGAATCATCCTGGTGGTCATCAAGCGCAGGAAGTTCTTCATCTAGCTCACTACCATGAATCGCATGACGCTCCTCAATCCATTTATGGACAGGTGCATCTCGTCGTGCTTGTCTCCACATCGTGATAGCTCCCGTGTGTGAGGCTAGAAGCCAAGCAACAAAGCAGATTGAGACACGGAGCGTGGACTTGTAGAAAACAAGCACAAGTCAGTCCAGTTTTGACCTCTGCGAACAAAAGGTCGAAAAGAGCTTTGTGGTGGGAGTACTTGCCACACTCCCACGTAACCTTGTTTGGCTAAGCGTCTTCCCACAAAGCCAAATGCATTGCGGTTCAGCCTCCTCCGGGCGAGAAGACGGAGGACTCTGACGGACGGAAGTTTTGAGGTAATGGCTACGCCATGAAAAAACCAGTGTGGGGAAAAGATAAGCATTTGGCGAAAGTGTTATCTTTGCTTTTCTTTGGAAGACACGCACAAACGAGAAGTGTTTGGCTAGCTGTGAACAACCAGCACGCTTTGCTTCGTGGCTCAAGGAAAGGTCCGCACTTTTTAGGTTGAAGGAAACTCAGATTTATTGTGTTGATATTTACATGGCTAACAAGGTGTGCTTTCTCTGGCTGTTGCTTACTGGATTTGATGGATCGGAGTGTACAGTGATCTCCGTTTGACTTTATTCCCTTTTTCTGCAGGGCAACCTACAGGCACAACGTTGCTCAGGGAACGCTCCGAGGATGTGGAGCTTACGCTGTGGTCTTGCAGCGCCCTACGAGGTGGCCTAGATGGGCCCGTTTACCTTCCTCGTCGTAAATTCTGTCAATTTTCCAAACCCCCATTCTTACTTTCAGTCCGTGACCAAAAAACAATCAATAAACGTGGCAACAACCCCGTAAAGACTTGTTACGAGAGCTGACAGTATTCATTCACGCGCTGTTTCGGTTGTAGTTTGCCGCTTCGGGTAACTGTTGCCTGAGCATGTCTACCAAGCACATGGATCACGCTTGGTGCAGCCAAGCAATGACAATTTGCATCTGCATTCCACTGTCCGGTTGCCCCATTCCAAACGTGCCATTTCCTTGGATGTGGCTGACAGTCCAACTAGTTAAGTTTCCCTAGAAATCTAGGAACCAAATCATTAGTGCGAGCGCTTCTTCAAGGAAACGTGAGCTATCATGCGTCCTGAGTAGTAGCTACTTGTAGGTACTAGCAACCTCTAGCTTCTACTAGCTACCTCTACTAGCGGCCTACCCCATCCTTAATTTAAAGAAAGAAAACAAAAACTGTCTAGAACATCCTCAAAACAATGTTTGAAAACATCTTGTCAAGCCGCAAAAATGCGAAGCCCGGATGAGGTGTGTCTTGAGCTTCAGCAAAGGCAATGCAATTATTGCCCTTGTGTTCAGTGCCAGCCACCAACCATTTGCGACCCTCTGAGTGGTAGCGGATTAACATATCTCCATTAGCATAGTAAGGAGACCCGTCACTGAGACCTCAAGGAGGTACGCTTGCTGTAAGTCACAAGCAAAAAAATGCGGATCAATTCAGGAATGCATCTCACCAAAATAGAAGATCAGAAATGACACTCGATGTCCCGCCTGCGAAATGATACTCACCACTGATGTCTGACCTTCGACTAATGAACGTCACATCCGGCGCATCGATGGCCTGAGCAAATGTGCAAACGCTTTCCTCAAAACCCAAAAAGCAAAACGAAACCAAATAGACAAGGACTATCAAATGTTCACAAACTTCCTAACTTCCAAGGAGCTATCAGATTGGCATCAGCCAGGAAGTCTTGAGCGCTTTCGCTCCAAATGAACCAAGGACCAAAGGTTGAAGCAGTCGGGGCCAGTGCACCATTGTCTTTGGCCCAGGCAACCGCCATCTCAGAGTCCTGGACCTGAGCACCACGAAGCGACTGAAATTCCTAGTAGCTTCTTGTTACTACTAGTAAGGCACCTGTTACTACTAGCGTGGCACTTGTTCCTAGTAGCTTCTTGTTACTAGGCGCCTAGGTAGAGGTAGCTAGTAGAAGCTAGAGGTAGCTAGTACCTAGTAGCTACTAGTATGGACACAGGATAGTTCACGCTTCTTCAAGTAAACTTCCCCTTGCCGCCGCCCTAAAGGGGAGCTTCTTTGAAGAAGCGCAGACACTAATGATTTGGTTCCTAGATTTCTAGGGAAACTGAACTCCCATACTAGGAACCTAGGAGCAAGGACGCTACTAGGAACCTATAGTAAAATTTGTTTCAAGACGCAAGAGACTGAAGTCTTAGCCCCCCACACCCTGCCGATCGATGACCCAGCAACCCCGTCTGAACATCAAGGCAGTGTGAGACCCAACTTGGAGATAGGTGGCATGGCCCTGATCAGGGTTCGAAAGAAACAGTGAAAAACGTGTTTCTTTTACTTTTTATTTTACTTGAGTAAGTAGAATGCTGGCAACTGGACGCAGGATGGCTCAAGCTTCTTCAAGGAAGCTCCCCGCGCCTGAGGGTGGGGGGGGCTTCCTGAACAAGCGTGAGCACTATTCATTTGGTTCCTAGATTCTTTGGATAACGTAACTTGAATGCGCGTGGGACATGAACATGACATCGTTCACGCTGCCGCTCTTCACGGACGTCATGTCTCCCACCTCATTCCAGCCGCTGTGCACATAGTAGCCGCAAATGTCGGAGTTCTCCAAACCTCCTGCCCGGCCCAGAAGCCGCAAAGAGGCTGGAACAGCCATACCTTGCAAGACGTCCCAAAAAGAACCGAAATGAGAAAGGCTAGAAAAGGTGGTGAAAAATAATTGAAAAGAAAAAGAAAACCAAATAAATACAAAAAGAAAATTAAAAAACATGTCTTTCGAAAGAGAAATGCTCGGAGTGCGAACTGCGGTGCCGTCTGTCATCCCGAAATGGCCACGGCCGGTGGTCTGAGCCGAATCTAGACAGTCTCAAACGGAAGTGACGAAAGTGAACGCAAGGTGAGACGACAAAGTGATAGAGAAAGTGCAGCATGCAAAAGCCGAAAGCTGTTTTTCTTCGGGTGAAACGACGACCTTCGCAACGCCTAAGCTGTGGAACAACCAGTTCGCAGCTCTGACGGCAAACGGTGCCACCTGACGCCCTGGCGCGGCCTGGCGCGGCTCAGTCGCTCCGAGCCAACAGCTTCAGTTTCCCAACAGCTTCAGGTCCTGCTTTCGCGTGCCAAATGCCATCTGCGCATGTGCGATGTACATCTCCTTTTTGCGTAGTAACAAGGGCATCGCTACTAGGAACAAGAAGCTACGTTCGGGGCTCCTGGCATCGCTACTAGGAGCATCCTTACTAGTAAACAAGAAGCTATTAGAGTTAATTACAACTTTTGAAACTGAGAGAAGTAAACAGTAAACAGAGACCGGTTCACGGTTCACCATGGTTCACCGTCTGTCCTCCGCTGAGAGGGTCCGCTCCCCTGCAAAGTTGGACCAGTCTGTGTTGTCCATGAAGACATTCAGGAGGACATAGCTACCACCCAACTGGAAAGCCAAAGCAAACAGTGTCAACTTCGCAAAATTGCAAAGAATCCGACCTTTTTCTCTAGAAGCAAGGACGCTACTAGGAACAAGTGCATCGCTTCTAGTAACAAGTGCCTTACTAGTAGTAACAAGGACGCTACTAGGAGCAAAGGGCATCGCTACTAACAAAGGGCATGCCTACTAGGAGCAAGGACGCTACGAACGGGGCTCCTGGCATCGCTACTAGGAGCAAGGGGCATCGCTACTAGTAGCGTCCTTGTTCCTAGTAGCGATGCCCTTTGCTCCTAGTGGCAAGAAGCTACTAGTAGTACTGGATTTGTGCGGCGCACGAGAAACGTCACAGCTCCAGAAATGATGGCCACCCATTTCTTCCGCTCCTCCTGAAAACAGGACGAGGGGCTACAGTGTGGCTACAGTTCGAGAAACTCTGAAAACACCAGACACTTGGTCCTCAGCCGTCAAGCCGCCTCCAGCCTATCAGACAAGAGAATTGTGGCCGCCCTGACGTGCCCTGACGTGCCTTCATGTCCGCTTCCCACCTCGGTTTGACATGCGATGCCAGGAGCCCCTAGTAGCGTCCTTCCTCCTAGTAGCGATGCCAGGAGCCCTAGTAGTAGCTTCTTGTTACTAGTAAGGCCAGGAGCTACTAGTAGCGTCCTTGCTCCTAGTCCGCTTCCCGGTTGCTATGGCCCGCGCTGATTCACCTCATCATCTAAGGGTTCCAAGGCCAAGAACTGCCGAGCTCTCTTCATGCCCTGCCGAGCGCTTTCCGTCCGACGCTCCCTACGCTCGACGCTCCCTACGCTGCCTCGCCCGAGCTGCCGGGTTTCACTTCTTCAAAGTCTGCTGTCGAACGAGCAGAATTCGACTTCTCAGACTTAGCGCCCTGCGAACGGTGGAACGGCCGGGTAGCTAGTAGAAGAGGTAACTCATAACCAGGTAGCTATTACCTACAAGTAGCTATATACCTACTATAGACACGGATAGCTCACGCACCAGTGATTTGGTTATGAGGTCGGTTCCTTTCTTCTTTCAATTTTCATGTTATTTTTTTGTCACTTCAAAACAATTGCGTGTCCCACCTTGGTCTGTGTTTCTGCAGCTCGCGCAACCCTATCAAAGCATCGTCCAAAACGTGTTGTTCGAAAGTCGTGCAAAACACGGTTACCGCAGCAAGAGTTTCTGTCGACAAAATGTACGGCACATAGCTTGAATTACATGGCTTGGATGCCAGAACCTTGGAGATCGAGTTGGCACAAAGTTTGGCCTGAACAAAGGACATAAACCATATTCAAACACGGAACCCTCGCAAATCTACGGGTCATATGAAGTCATATGGTGTTTGTGTCACGTGTTGTGATCTTTGATCATTTTTGGTCTTTGCTCGTGTTCTGTAACCTCGCCTCCAGGAAAGAAAGACTGCAAAGACCTCAGAGGGCTGCCAAACGCGTATGTACGCGCACTCAATGCTCAGGTTGCTCTTGAAATTTAAGCGCCAAGCAAATAAATGAACACACACCTCAATTTGCGAACAAAAAGGTCGTAGGTCACTATGGTCACACTTTCCAAACACAGATGTTCAACCCTTTTCATGTCTGATGTGTCCAGTCCACTTGTGCCAAGCTGCTCTTGGTCGCACACTTTGGGCCATATTTGGTCCTGGTTTGGACAGAACGCATCGAAGTGTGCAAGATCGAAAAGACATGCTCTTTTCAATCTAATCCCATTTCAAAGTAGAACCGCCAGAGCAACAACGATTTTACTTCTTGAATATGTTCCAGTTAACCCCCTTTGACAAAGCTTGACACGTCCTGTGGCTCACTGCCGCCAAAACGAACCAGACCGCTCTGAGCATCACATTTCGGGAGTGATTTGGGCGCTACAGATCACAATGCCGTCAGGTCAAATCACTGTGGTCAAAAGAATTCTTGCATCAAACGCACTCAGCGAGACGAACTGCCCTGTCCCTTCCGACCAACTGGAGGGTAGACCACCGTGGTCTGGCCGACTGCAAAGGCGGTTGCATTGCTTTGTACCGAGTTATGCAAGGAAGGGCTTGGTATTTGCTCGACCCCAAAAAGTTATTTTTGAAACCTCAAGCTCGAAGAGCGCGTCCAATCCTATTTTTTCAACCCCAAAGCGATTTTTGAGTTGAATTTTTTGAGCCTCAAAAAGTTGTTTTTGAGCTACAAGTTTGAACCCCAGTTTCGACCTAAAAAATAGCTTTTATGAAATTGGTCCCGCCAACGGCGTTTTCACGTCGCGTATGCGCGGGCAGCTCAAGGGCCCTGTAAAACCAAATGGCAGCAGAATGTACCATGGACAGAACTCGGCTGCACACAAGATACCAACAACAGGGAAGATTCGCACTCAACCTGTTCTTCGAGTCTGTCCGGGGGCTATGTACGCAATCTGCCATCTAAACAGGAATTTCTACAAGTAGTACTGTAGTGCGTTCTGCGTAGTGAAACTTCCCCACTTCGGCAAATCTATGCTACATCGTTCTGTTTTTTTCCACGAGTGCGGACGCCATGTGGGCGGTGTGCCCAGGTCATCATGAGAAGGGTAGAAACTCTGCATATTGGTAAGGGGAGAAGAACAAGAAAGCAACAGACAAACAACCAAACCACAAACACCCCAAAAAACCACCACAGCCAAAGGCCCCAAAGACCAATGTGGGCAGAGTTTCCGCTGTACTGAGGTGAGACATGTGAAAAATGATAAACTCAAACTACCTAAGGGCCTGAATTCACTACGAAAGCATATCTGTATCTGGACAAAGGCGGTTGTCCACGCAGGCCAATCAAAGGTGGCCCTCTGTTGAGGCAAGGGTAATGTCATCCTTGCCAGTCTCAGTCGTAGGCACATCAGCTTTCTTCGAAGATTCACAAGGTGGCTGGTGCAACAGTTGCAGCAGAAGGATGACGATAGCCAAATGTCATCAGTTGCAATGCTTTGCTGGCCTTGGAAAACAACCTCTCAGCTACGCTACATCGTTCTGCTCGTCGTTTCTCCTTGTTCTTGTCAGTTTGGTAGACGCACGATCGAAGGACCAAAAGCAATAGGTCTGGTTTCATGCTCTTTGTCACAAACAATCACTCAACATTGTGTGAGTGCTGATCCAATCCAGACGATCTCCTCCGTTCGGGAAAATATTCGAGGTCCTCTGAGGTCCCTGCCACAAGTTCTCATGAATTGCGGCCAACTCAATCCCGAGTCGCTTATCTGGCGACTGTCTCTGCGTCGAGGTGGTCGCAAAGCGAACGGCAATCCGAAAATTGCAAGCGCGGGACACAGGATGATCTCATAATGGATTCCCACCTTGCAGCTGTACAAACAACCCTTCGTCTCAGCGATAAGGGCACGGATTTTGTCTCCGCTCTCTATACCGGATTGCAACGAATATGTCTCGGCTTGGAGTGTCGAACGACACACTCTCTTGATGGTCGTGGACGAAAAGCCTGATGGCAGCACATGGTAAACGCACACATTACGACCCAATATGGGAGGGATGACAAAAGAACACGAAATTTACCATAGTTTTCCGTGACTGCAGTGAAGTCCTCCACTCAAAGGAGGTTTTTGAAGGGTGTCCATATCGTGATATCCCACAAGCAGTCCAAGTCCCCGTGAACCCGGCCGGAATCGTTCCTGCGGGTGCGTTCACGGCAGTGCTTGCGTCATGTCAATGTAGAAGCAGGCATCAGAGCAGTTGGAGCGGAGGCATGGCAGTGTTGCCGACATCTTCGAGTGGTCAGGATGCCCAGTTCGGTGGCGCGAATCGCGGACAATACCTTCCGAGGGTGGGTAGGGGGATGGGGTCCCCGATACCTAGCCCTCAAGAGGGAGCGTGGACCCGCGAGGGTCCCATGGTCGTTGAGGGAAGATTCTAAGGTGTTGGTCCGTGGATCTCTTCGACCGGGAACCATGAATGGACATGGTTACGTCACATTCCCTAGCCGGCCAGTTGACGCTGTCCTTGGTGGCTTGGACGTGTCAACTGGCGCTGCGTGGTCGACGGGCCACAGCGCCATCCACTCCTTGGGACACGGGCCCTGGTGGTTGTTCCTCTTTTTTTTTGCACGAGTCGAGGCGCTGTGTGTGCAGGTTATGCACAAATCACCTTAAGCTAGTAAGAGGGGGAGAAATGAACCGGCCAAAGAACGAAACCGAAGCAACCAAACAACCCCCCCCAACCCAACAAACAGCAAAAACCGCCAAAACCCCACCAAAACAAGGCACGGTTCATATCTCAGGATGGCCGAGTCAGCCAGAAAAGCGGTGAAACGGAATACGGCCTGGGGCAATGAATTCTTGCCTGACGCTCAGTACATCATCTTCAGGTTCTTGTACTTCATTTGCCTTCATTTGCCTCGACGAAGCTTGACAGCCCTTTGATTGTCAATACAATTTTCGCTTCAAATGTGAGGGCTGATGCACACTCGGAAGTCAGCTGAATCAAAACTGTCTACCATAAAGGGCATCCACGCAGCATCATTCCAGCATCACACCGCAATCTCGTGCTCACGTTCCAGAAGATTGAGGCCTCTACGGGACATTCCGACTCTAGGAAAACAGCTGGATGAGCGATCGAAAACTACAAATTGTCGAAGGACGGATCCAGCGGAGCCATGTAGTAGAGAAAGCGGCGGGACTAGTGAGCACGACGAAGACAGGCTCGATACCCCAGGCCCCCCCCAATAGGGAGGGGGAGCACCAGGGGTGCAGCGATGACTTCAAAAAACAGCTTTGCCAAAAGAAGTCACAGAATGGCAGGTTGTCTCAACAGCTCACCGGGAGCAAATTTGGGCAATCAAGGTGCAATCATGACGAGGTTGAACTTTCATCGGCGCTTTGGTAGCGCGCCTCCTGATGCATTGATGCGTCTTCTTGTGCAATTTTGGAACACACAGGCCCCCTGTACTACGTGAAACAAAGGTGAAACTCCGTCATCCTATGTTCTGTGTGCTGTACAGGCTGTACAAGCTGTACTCATCCAGGACTACCACTCGGGCGGTAGCCTCATCACTGTCTAGCCGCTCAGTGTTCTTGTACACCCCCAGGTGGCTGGCGCTTGTTTGATCAGGACCAGCACATGGGTGCGAGCCTGAGCTCCTGGCATGGCTTAGCAAAGCTACTGTCGGTCCTTGCGCATTTCCTCATAGAAATCATCAGCCCACTTATCGCAACCGCCTTTGGTATTTGGCGGAAGGAAGCGAATCCACTTTGGTGTGTCTAATTGTCCACATTTGTCAAAGGCGTTTGCCTGAGCATATGTCCCCCTCCAAGTCATGCTTTTTCCGGTTTTGTGGAATGTGCGGAGTTGCGTGCAGCCTGCAAAGGCACGTCGAGCAATATACAACAAGGTTGGTGGGAGGAGCACCTCTCGCAGCGATGTGCACTTGAGAAAGGCTTCTTGTTCTATCCTTCGCAACTTGTTGGATAGGCTGAGCTGCTGCAGATGTAAACAGTGTGCAAAGGTGGACCCCAATATCTCACTTACTTCGGACTGAGAGAGATCAACTAGCTGTAGCTGCTGACATCGCTCGCAGGCTGCAGGTCCAATCAACGTGAAATCTGGAGCGAGACAATCCCAGCTTCCAAAAAACAGCATTCGGGCAAGCACCTCGTCGGGCTAGTGGGGTCATACTCCGTTTGTTCGAAGTTGAGGTATCGCAGTGCGGTGCACTTTTCAAAAGCCCGTGGCCGAAGCTGCGCTTGCGGGGCTAGCTGGTTGGTGGAGTCACTGGCGGTCCCTATTTCTATCAAGAAGCAGCATGCTTCGAAAACCCTAATCCCGAACTGCTTGCACCCTGGAGCAAGAACGGTTCGGAGTGCATAACTTCGGCAAAAAACTCCATTCTGCAGGCAGACTACTGTGCTCGGGAGGTGAACCGCCTGAAGTCGCAGACAACTCCGCCAAGCGGCCTCGCCAATGATGCGAATACCTGCTTCCACCTGCACGTGCCTGACTTCCATATTGTGCGAAAATGCGTGTGGCAGAATTCTGTCAATGGTGTTGCGTGGGCTTTGACCTTGCTCTTTAGCTGCCCTTTGTGTTCCGTCGCAACAAAGCAGTGACGGACAATCACGTTGAAGCAATTGTTATCTCGCAGAGTGTCCCAAATTGGGTCAGCTAGCACTTTGCGGGTATCTTTATGGACAAAGTCAAGCTCACAACCAAAGGTGCTGCTCTCTCCAATGTAGGGGAGTTGTTCCAGCACTGCATTTTCAAATTCATTGAGCCTATCAAACTCCTGCAATTCTATTGTCAACTGGATTTCTTCTCCAGCAAAGGTGATGAGGATGAGTTGCAGCACTAATGATCTTTCTTCGCTCACTAGGGAGCTGCAAAGGGACATGTTGTCTTCAAACATTGTATGAATTCCCCGTCCAAATCAGTCTATCATAGGCTTGAGCCTGAAAGCACAGCCTGCAGTGTGAAAATAGTAACCAACAGACAGAAACATGGAGCTCTGACATCCGGACTTAGGGACGGCTACATGGGCAGCCGCCCTAATGCATTCCTACCGCCTGAGGCACTATACTCATGTGTGATGGCTGGGAGGGACCATCCAATCACTCCCATTCGGGGGTAGATAATGTAGCCACCATGGTATGCTTAGTGCGTAGCAAGCTTCAAAGGCGTTG